AGATTCACATTCTTAGACACCATCACATGGGTGTGGAGACCCTGGTCCACTTGTGCTGTCTCTTGTGAAATTCCATGAGCTGCCACAGTAGGGAAGTTTCCGTTGCCCAAGTATTGGTGTTAGTTAAGGGCATGAGGACTGAAGCCTGCTGTACTGGTAAGTACTGACAAACACACCAGCCACATCTAGCTGGAAACAGCTCACTTTCTCTGGGACTGTTCCCTTACTAGCAAGTGTGACCATTTATGCTAGTGGCTAGAAATACAACATAGAATATGTCACTAAGGAATATAGGATGAATGTCATATATATAATATCTTATTGCTATCATAATATAACTGTTTGAGAAAATGATCATTCTCTTAGATTCTAATTGTTCCTCCTCAAATGTGTTTTGCATCACACAGGAGAGAAGTGCTACCTACACCACGTTTTCTCAGCACCCTCTGCTGCCATGCATAGGGTGATGCTGTAGTTATCACATTTCAAGACACAGACCGCTTGAAAAGCTCAACTCTGTGAGAAATGACTGAGTCCAAATGCTCATTGCCTTTAGCCTGCAGCTACGAACAGGGATCCATGGCCTAAAGTGAAACCCAAACAGATTTTGACAAGTAAATGCAGCAATGTGAGGCCAAGACAAGACTAGCCATGGAAGTCAGCAGGAAAATGGAATCTTCCTTGTGTTGGATGAGCACAACTAGAAACTCCTATCCAGAGTATGTGTCTTTCTGCTGTGTCTCTACCATTAGTGTCCTTGAAGTGAAAGCTCTGGCTTCAAAATCCCAAAACAGCTATCAAATATCTCAGTGACCTGACCTCGGTTCTAAGACTTGTTCTGATGGCCTAAAAGAAAAGAACTCAATCACTAAGATCAGTAACTCAATCAATCAGACCAGGGAGCCAATCTTCACTATTGTGATGGATCAGATTAAAGTCATGTGACTTGTAACTGGAATGAAGGTGGAGAGCCTGGGGAAACAGAGGTTAGTGCTACAGGTTAATACTCTGTGCTTTAAATCTAAGCGATCTATCAGCTAGAGACACAACTGCATTGGTTCAATGCCTTGGGTCCACAGAATTAATTACAGAACTTCTCACCTCCAGGCGTCTGTTTGTTAGTGGACACAGACTTTATTCTGCAGGTCACATTTGCAGATTAACACTCTGTTTGAATTCCATGATGGATGGATGAGCCTTCATTTCAATCTCTGACCCTTTTCAGATAAAAAAGCAAAAAAAAATTGTAATATTCAATGTCACATGTTGGGAAGAAATTACCATTGATGCAATACAGTTCTTGATGTCAGACAGCACACAGGAGATGAGGGAGGCTTGCATCACTGTGATTTCGAAATCTTCCTGTTTTACATAGAGAGGCTCAAGTTGGCCAGGATCCTTATTGAATCATCTCTCAAAATATAAAATACAAAATGGGCTTTCAGGAAATTTCCATACCACATTTCCTGAATTTAACCATTTCACAGCCCAGGCTTCTTTGATCTGGAACAAAAACAAGGCCTGAGCACAGTTGATTCTCACAAACTGAAAATCTGTGTAATCCACTAAGCATTCTGCTTCTTGATCTCTGCACATGGTACTCATCAGATGGTCAGGGTTCTAGAAAGTAAGTGACAGCACAAGCTACCTGTCATCCTGGAGTGATGAACTTCTGGTCAACAAATTCAATATGCACCATTGTTTGAGAAAATGCCAGGATCAGATGATCAGAAGAGAAGCTGGATGCCAAGAACAAAAAGAAGATACCACCTGTCTTTCCACACAACCATGATCTCTCATTCTGTCATTACTCTTCACTCTGGTATTTAAATGTTAACTTTCCCTCAGTGGTGAGTATAATAGGATATGCCAACTCATGTGTTCCTTTCTTCAGAATATCAAGACCAGGCTTCTGAATCTCATCCTCTCCCACAAAAACATACTTACTGTACTCAATCTTACCTTCACGTGATGATTCACACTGCTCAGGGCCTTGGAATCCATGTTGAGTTCAGTTCCCCTTGAAAACTCACTGAACTCCTCACTACCTGAAGGTGTCCTGGAAAACAGTTCACACACCACACTCTCCACTGCTTCACACTGAACCTGTGGCTGTCATCAAGGGTTGCACCATAATTAAGAATTCGTCTTAAAAATGACCCCTATGGCCATCATTTGTCATAGAGAAGTCATGGTTGCTGGACTTGTTAAGGGGGAAATCAGCATCATGGGTGGCAAGTCTGAATTACCTTCCGACTGTGGAGAAAACAATGTTAATGTAATATCAAATGTGAGTTATAAATACATAGGTGCTTGCCCCTGAGACAAAATTCATTAAAGGACCCGGCTCATTGTGTGTGTGTGTGTGTGTGTGTGTGTGTGTGTGTGTGTGTGTGTGTGTGTGTGTTTAAGAGCAATGTTTGTTGGAGAGCAGTGTAGGGTAAGAATGTTTGACAAACTTGGTCTCAACCTTAGCACATCATATGGAATGTTGGGTTGGCGGTCAGGTGATTTGATAGGCACCACTGTGTGTGGCACTGCAGTAGAAGTTAATGTGCATCATGTCACAGTAATATTAGTAGAGCCTGAGTCACAGCACATTGTGTGTTTGAGGAGGAGTCCATCGGGAATGGTGACTGACACTGAAGGTGTGACAGGGAGAGACGTAGGATGTCCAATGGGTCACTACTGGGCAGGAAATTTCATGAGTGTGACAGGAGGTGAGGTTCACAGCATGTTCTGACAGCTATGGATAGTGTGATAGGAGGTCAAACAAGACCTGATACCTAGAAGAAGATGTGTGGTCACAGAAGAGGTGGGGTGTTTAAAGGGCCTGAAGAATAACTATGCATAGCAATGGGGAAGAGTAGGACAGGGCATGTAGCAGAGCACAATAAGTATTCAATACAGGTTAGATGATGGGATGAATATGTGTCAATCCAGGTCTGTTAATATTAGAGTAGGTTGGCAGAGACTGCTCTGTTATCCAGGGGTACCAGAAAGTAAGTGTATGTGTGAGGCATTAGGGAAGTCACCAGACATGATACCTGTATGAAGTTGAGACTACTGTAGGGGGATGTTTATTTAAAGGGCCTTCAGCTATTTTATAAGATGTTTCATGGCCTGAGTGTTATTTCATACTTAGCTGGTTTGACATTCTAAAACTGTATGTACTATGATGTCATGAGGTATCCTGTGAGGCCTGATGTTAACACTGGAGAATGTCACTTGTGTGGTGGTATGCAGAAGATGGCCTGATAACTTCAGTGCATGTGGTTCTTCCATGATGTGGTGCTATCCTGTGGAACCCATAATAGCTGTGCATTTCGGGCATAGTGGCAGATTATCTAGCACAGCCTACAAATTAGCACTAAATGTGGGGTTAAGTGAGTGTCACTCAGGGTTCAATGCCGACAAATCTATGAACCATCTGAGCGTTCTTTGCTCAGAAAGAATTGATGCCTAGAAATTAGCATGTGGATGGATGGGAACTACTGCATGACCAATATTTAGGAATGTATTTGAAGATGTATGGTATGTGAGTAGTGTTTATCAGTGGGGTCTGAAGTCCAGTACTGTATTGTACCTAATCAGGGAAGGAGGCATGTGTCAGGACAAGAGTTTATACGCCTGACCCTAGAAAACTATGCGATGAGTGTGTGTGTGTGTGTCATTCGTGTCCTTAAACCGACAATGTTCAAGGTGGTAAAAGTGGAGGAGCATGCAGAGCACACATGAGTATCTAGGTATCAGGCTCTGATGCTTCCACACCTGACTCTACCCTCCAATGTAGAACTATTATGAGATCCAGATAGACAGCTGTCTCCATCCCACCCAAGAGTAGATGTTATCAGCCCTCATCCGAACTCACAGCGCACAAAACACTTCCACCTCTACATAGCCAATCAAAGTTCAAATAGAGGCATTTGTTGTCTGCTGAGGTGTGTCAGGGGCCAGGCTCTCTCTAGATGTCCTAGGTAAGTGTCTGCTCAACCCTGTTCCAGTTTCTGAATTTTCTTGGCACATGACATGTTCTCCATGTTATTTTTGATTTTCTCTATATCAGGCAGGAACTTATGTGAATATCTTCCATGAATTTTATGTGAACTTTATAGGGTTTGGATTTTGAACATTTGAAATGGAGACTGTTTTTAATATTGCAATGGGCTCACTATTCTGTGTCCTTAAATAATATTCTAGAGCCATTTATGTACATTCCATTTTCTCTGCTTTGAAATACATAGGTGACTACAACAAAATCAGTGACAGTATTTGGCTGTGTCTGTTGCTGAAATTTGTGATCTCTTAGTCTCCTATATGTCACTGTAGCCTTTCTGGAACGCTGAAGCTTTATGGGAGGTACTGGAGCCAGACACTGGGCCTGGAGGAATCTCTTCTGCCCTTGACATCTCTTCTAGGTTAAGTCCTATATGTTGTTATATTAGGTGTAGGAGCAACAGACTGTATTTCCATGAGTCTATAGATTAATATCCAATATCTAACATCTCTAGAATAGCAACTAGTGGAATGAAGAGCTGTTAATTTGGAGATCCCTCAGGAAAACAAAAAGTTCTGAATGCCAATTAATAGTGATTATATAGGAAATCCGATTGAGTGCTTCAATACTTGTTTGTACATTGCTTCTAATACCAATGAGCATATTTCAACTGTGTTTACTCAAATTCTCCTTCAAGTTAGTGATTGCCTGGGACAGGACTCCATGGACTCTGCCCTTCCTAAGATCCAGTCTAGAGTTCAGAAAAAAAGCACATTCATTTACCAAGGGTCTTCTGAGATAATTCTTTCCACCCGACATGTTTTCTGGGTTATCCTGCAGAATAGAGGTATAGGTAACTTTAAACACTGTCGGAAATCATTGTGGTCTAAGTTGGCCAGGAGTAGAAATTCAAGAACATCTACCTACTGGGAGGCTTTCACTAGTGGACCCTCTGGTAGGTTCCAGGGATATTGTTGGTGATTTGTGTCATTGTCTCACTTAGAAGGTGGAAGACGGACCACTGAATTGTCCTCCACAGCATGCTCTCATAATGACCTGTGGAACCTCTCAGCTCCTCTGGACCTCAGGAATGACACAGTAATCTTCCAGGAAATGAGAGGTGAGAGACACACTCCTCTTTCAATATCACCAATGCTCAGTATGCACATCTGCAGGTCAGGAGTTGGGGTTCCATGATTCATGTTGTGGCCAGGCACCCATAAGAGAAAGTACACATTATGCTCCTCTGCTCTCTTGGGCATCATGTCTGCATTCTGAGACTCACATTCTTAGAGAATATCACATGGGCTAGGAGCCCCTGGTCCACTTGTGCTGTCTGTTGCCACAGTAGGTCCCTTGCCCAGGTATTGGTGTCAGTTAAAGGCATCAGGACTGAAGCCTGCTTTACTGGTAACTACTGAAAAATGCACCAGCTATGTGCCAGCAGCAAACAGTTCATTGTCTCTGGGCCTGTCTATTGTTAGCAAGTGTGACCATTCATGCTCGTGGCTAGAAATACAACATAGAATTTGTCACTAAGGAATATAGGAAAGATGGCATACATATAATATCTTATTGCTATCATAATATATACCTGTGTGAGAAAATGATCACTCTCTTAGAGTCTAATTGTTCCTCCTCAAGTGTGTTTTGTATCAGAGAGGAGAGATGTGCTACCTACACCACGTTTTCTCAGCTTCCCTCTGCTGCCATGCCTAGGGCGATGCTGTAGTTCTCACTTTTTCAAGACACAGACCGCTTGAAAAGCCCAACTCTGTGAAAAATGACTGAGTCTAAATGCTCATTCACCAAACAAATCCATTGTAGTACAAGGACAAAATACAGCCCAGGTAGCACTTTACATTGCCTGGTATCTAGCTTACCTCACAATTAGTCTTTGTGATATCTCATGCAACAGACCAATCACGTACAGCATAGCCCACGGTAAATTGTTGTTTACTTTCTATTTTGATCAACTATACTAATACTTCCCATGGCCATGAACAAAAAGTTTTAAACGACTTAATTATGATAGGTCACCTTCTTTAACCTCGTATGTACAAGGGCCTAATGCAACACAAGAGGGAAAATTGTGGGATGGACATCAGGAGTGGGATGCACATGGTTACATGGCATTTTCTTCCCATGTTCCTCCAGTCACCTAACATTATCTGGTTTATTTTTCAGTGTTCTCAGCAGAAGAGCCCAGTGGGGATGGCATATACAAACATAGGTGACAGTGATGACATTTCACATCAAATCCCTTTCATGAACCTTTGCCCCTTCAAAAAGAGTAATAAAGTAACAGAAAATCTTACTCTGATAGACAGGAGAAACTTTGATCTTCTCAGGGTGATGGACACATATACATTAACTGCTTCCAGCTGAATGTATGTGGGTTTTTTACAGACTATCACTTCAGCCCTCAATATTTATAGTACTTTTACATTTTCCTGATGGATAACAGCATTACTACTGACAGACCCAAGCCTTTTATGTTGACATTTAGAGCGTGACATTCAGAGGACAGCAGACAGCTGACATTGTGATGTTCTACATCTCGCACCATATGAACAATCTCATTTCTGGAGGTCATGAGACTTAAGTCATCACTGTCAATTTGAGAGTTTATGGGACTCTGACATGTTCCTGTCTGCTCTAAGTAGCAGCAGTGAAAATTTTCGCACATTTCTATAGTCAACCAAAGTCCTTACATCTTCAGAATGTCCTGGCCCTTGCACACCCTCATTTTGTTTTTGTCTCCTACACCCATCATTTAACTCTGAGAACATGGGCTCCATGACTGACCCTGATCATGTTAAAAAAAAGTCCTTGTTGAGGCTCCTTTTTGTTGTCCTTATTGATTGCAAACATTTTCTAATGCAATCTGGAATACATGGATTGAGCACTGTTTTTGTGTAAAATGGGGGATAGATAGTATCTATGGCCTAGTACATACTGGGTACTGAGGAGGATGGAATTCAGTTAGGGAAGATGGAGTTCTGATTCAAGGAAAGTTCAAGGACTGTCAAAGCAGTTGTTGGGCCTGTAAATGGCAGATCAGGCTCAAGTCAAGTTTACTTTGTTTTCAGGTGTTAGTTACTGGGACGGCCACCAGGGTAGCACAGATTTATAGCGCAAGGCAGCAGCTTTTCTTACCAAGGGTCAAGCTCACCCCACATTCTAAAGTCTTCTGAGCATTTCAGTTCTGGGAAGGGGAGACCCTGGAGAAACTAGTGCAGTAGAAGATTTTTATGCATGTGTTCCCTGAGCTTTGAGTTTCTGAGGTTCATTCACAATGCTGATTTAAAGGGAAGAGTTTGCGTTAAAGGTGGGGGATCTAGAAGACTTACTGAGAACTGGAAATGAGTAGTGATCTCTGTTTGTCCTCTCAACAGAACCTGGAAATTCCAGAGAAGTTAGCAATGCAGGTTGAGTCAGAATCGTCAGTACTTAGTATGCATCAGTGTACTACACCGGTGTCCAGGACTGACTCCTTGTGTGTAGCATGCAGGAGGGACAGGACAGCTGAAGGTGAAGACAAACACACTGTCCCTCTTTGGGAGCAGGGAACCCATGTCTGAAATGAGGCACAGACTCTCAAGTCCGAGTTGATGGATTCCTACTTAGATAGATGGAAAAACCAATGTGTGTTCTCTGGTCATACCTCAGGTTCTTTCAGAAATCGATAGCAAAATCCCACAGGACACACAACATAACAGCATCCTTCAGTGTTCTCTCAGGAAAAGTAGAGCGAGATGAAAGGGGCAAAGCCCCTTAGATCTGTGGCCTTGTGCAAATTAGATAAGCATCCTGTGTCTGAAATGAGGAACAGACACTGAAAGTCGGAGTTGATGGATTCCTACTTAGATGGAAAAACCACTGTGTGTTCTCTGCGAGGAGGAGGAAACAAGGGAAGGAGCTTCATTGGTCCTCATGGGGGAATCATTTCACCAGGAGAACAACCTGAAGGGATGTACAGATTAGTGAGTATTGCTGAGGTGTTTCCCTGGAGAGTGGTCCACAGGTTGTGTACATTCAAGCCCAACTTGGATATTGTATTGTCTCAGAGACACATTTGCTACAGATTCTGAGGAAGGCCAGATTGGAAATATTTTCCTTGAGAATTGTGGTTACCTGGGGAGAAACATGTGGTAGATGGCTTACTTCCTCCTGGTCTGGACACAGACACTATATGTTGGGTAACTGGGCACACTGCCACCTGTAATTCCTGCATAGCTCCTACTTCTGCTCTTTCAGACCACAGCTAGAAATCTCCAGCCTGTGTCTCCTGATGTATAGAGTTCATCACTTTAAACACAAGGACACGTGGACAGGATGGACAGGGAATCTGAGATATGCAGCACTCAGTCTCCACTGTTCTTGCCCCACTGCACATCCCTCTCCCCATGGAGACTCCATTCTGTCTCTCCCATCCCCTCTAAATCCTCCCTCTGCAAATTGTCTCTTACTCCCAGTGTATCCCATGTTCTCACGCTCTCCAATTCAACAAAGTCACTCGAAATAGAAGCTGGGAATAGTGTGGGAAGTTGATTTTGAAGTCACATTTGAAAATAATCCTAACCACATAGAGAAACAAGTTATTGTGCCAAATGCAGATGGGAGATGCCAGTTTGAAATACAAACAAAGATGAAATTAATACATGTAGAGGATGTGGGGCTAAGAGCACATATTCATTGTCAGTATTTGAAGTTGTCCAGAAAACAGTGCATCTTAAGATGACTGTATTCTATGTGACAAGCAAGTCTCAAAAGACAACCATCTCTTTTCAGTCTTATGTAAAATCTGAGCTCTGTAGGAACCACAACATAAACAACAGGACATGAAGGACCTGGAATAGGACTGTATTCTCCTGGGATGTTCCACAGTGTATTGGGGCAGGGAATGATCACCTCTACTCTCACAGTCCAGAGTGTCCTGCCCAGATTTCTAGTTGGTTCAGCATCAGGAGTCCTGTAAACCATGGACTCCCCATGAGCTGGCAACAGTGAACAAGGTTCAATGGCCTAAATTGCAACCAAACAGGTTTTGACAAGTAAAGACAGCAATGGTGGAACCGGACAAGACTATCCATGAAATTCAGCAAGGAAGTGGACTGCTTGCTTGTGTTGGATGAGGACAACTAGAAGCTCCTATCTAGAATGAGTAGCTGTCTGCAGTGCATCTACCATTAGTGTCCTTGAAGTAAAACCTCTTCCTTCAAAATTCCAAAACAGGTACCAAATATTCATAAACCCACCTTGGGTCCTAATTTTTGTTCTGACGGCCCAAATGGAAAGAACCCAATTAATTAGACCAGGGAGCAAACATGCACACTTCTGATTGGTCAGATTAAAGTCATGTGACTGGTAACTGGACTGCAGGTAGCAGATCCTGTGGAAAGGAGGTTAGTGCTACAAGTTAACACTCTGTGCTACATTTCCAATGATCTACCAGCTAGGACACACCTCCTTCAGTTCACTGTCTTTTATCTACAAAAGAATTGATGACAACACTTCTCACCTCTAGGGTTCTATTCATAGGGGTCACAGACTCTTTTTTGTAGGTCACATTTGCAGTTAGCCCCCTGCTTCAAGTCCAGCCTGCTTGAATGTTCCTTCAGGTAAAACATGAACCTGTCAAGATGAAAAAAGATCAGAATAGGAACAATTTCACCTCATATGTTTGGAGGAATTCACCATTGATGCTATACAGACCTTGAAGCCATGAACAGTAGTACACATGTGTGATTGCAGCACACAGCAGAAGAAGCAGGTGTGGATATGTTTGAGTTTCAGATCTGTCTATTCTACATAGAGAGGATCAGGTTAGCCAGGACACATAGTGATTTCCTTTGTATAAACAAAATGTAAGTTGTGCATTCGGGAAACTTCCCTGTCTTCTTACCTGAATTCAAACATTTCGCATCCCTGGCATCATTCATCTGCAAGAGAAACAAGGCCTGAGCACAGGTGATTCCCACAAACTGAAAATCGCTCTCATGCAGTAAGCAAGCTGCAGCTTGTTCTGTGCACATGGAACTCACCAGATGCTCAAGATTCTAGAAAGTATGTGACAGCAGGAGCTGCCTGTCATCCCTTAGGGAAGAAGCTCTGGCCAACAAATTCAATATGCACCAGGTTTGAGGGATCAGACAGTCAGAATAGAAGCTGCATGCCAAATTAAAGAAGAAGATAGCACCTCTCTTTTCACACCTCTGTAGTCTCTCATGTCACTGTTCTTCATTCAAGCAGGTCAATGGTTCCTTGCCCTCTGTGCTAGGGAAGCTGACCTAGGATGCCTCATGTGCTCCTTTTCTTCAGGACACCAAGACCAGACTTCTGAATCTCATCCTCTCCCAAAAACAGACTCTTACTGTACTCAATCTTACCTTCACGTGATGATTCCCACAGATCAGGGCCTGGGAATCCAGGTTGAGTTCAGTTCCCCTCCAACATTCAGTGAGCAGCTCCCTACCTGAAGGTGTCCTGGAAAACGGCTCACACACCACACTCGCCACTGCTTCACACTGATCCTGTGGCTGTTGTCAAGGGTTGAAATGTGATCAA